TCTTTGCCTCCATAGATAATGTTTTTGTCTCCACATATGCCTCAACGTACCACTCACCTTTTTTTCCTCATCAATTCTATGATTAATCTCATCCTTCATAAATCCATCCGCTGACACTTCAACTCCCAAGCATCTGAAAACATTCACTTCTTCCATACTCCTCCTCCCCAATATGATATCCAATTTTTCTTTATCTAAATCATTTGATACCCTCATCACCTTACTCTTTTCTATGTTAACTTTCAACTTTCTACCTTAACACACTCCCAAAATCGTCCACTAACCTTTACAATTTTTCTTTAGAATCTCCCAAAAGCACAGTATCATCAGCAAAAAGTAACTGTGTCAATTCTCATTTTGTATTTGATTCTCCATAATTTAATCCCACCCCTCTCCCAAACACCCTAGCATTTACTTCTTTTACAACCCCATCTATAAATATATTAAACAACCATTGTGACATTACACATCCCTGTCTAAGACCTAATTTTACCGGGAAGTAGTCTCCCTCTCTTCTACACACCCTAACCTGAGCCTCACTATCCTCATAAAAACTCTTTACAGCATTTAGTAACTTACCACCTATTCCTTATACTTGCAACATCCGCCACATTGCTCCCCTATCCACTCTATCATATGCCTTTTCTAAATCCATAAATGCAATAAAAACTTCCCTACCTTTATCTAAATACTGTTCACATATATTCTTCAATGTAAACACTTGATCTACACATCCCCTACCCACTCTAAAACCTCCTTGCTCATCCGCAATCCTACATTCTGTCTTACCTCTAATTCTTTCAATTGTAACCCTACCACACTTCTCCTGGTATACTCAGTAAACTTATTCCTCTATAATTTTTACAATCTCTTTTGTCCCCTTTCCCTTTATATAAAGGGACTATACATGCTCTCCGCCAATCTCTAGGTACCTTCCCCTCTTTCATACATTAATTAAACAAAAATACCAACCACTCCAACACTATATCTTCCCCGGCTTTAAACATTTCTGTCATGATCCCGTCAGTTCCAGCTGTTTTACCTCCTTTCATTCTACGTAATGCCTCACGCACCTCTCCCACACTCACATCCTGCTCTTCTTCACTCCTAAAAGATGGTATACCTCCCTGGCCAGTGCATGAAATTACCGCCTCCTTTCTTCGTCGACATTTAAAAGTTCCTCAAAATATTCTCGCCATCTACCCAAAACCTCCATCTCCCCATCTACTAACTCCCCTACTCTGTTTTTAACTGACAAATCCATTTGTTCCCTAAGCTTTCTTAACTTGTTTAACTCACGCCAAAATTTTTTCTTCTTTTCATTAAAATTTCTTGACAGTGCCTCTTCCACTCAATCATCCGCTCTCCTTTTGCACTCTCTCACCACTCTCTTCACCTTTCTTTTACTCTCCATATACTCTATTCTTCTTATAACACTTCTGCTTTGTGAAAACCTCTCATAAGCTAACTTTTTCTCTTTTATCACACCCTTTACGTCATAATTCCACCAGTTACTCCTTTTTCCTCTTGCACCCACCCTCCTATAACCACAAACTTCTGCCCCACATTCTATTACTGCATTTTTAAAACTATTCCAACCCTCTTCAACCCCCCCACTACTCATACTTGCACCAGTCCACCTTTCTGCCAACAGTTGCTTATATCTCACCCGAACTTCCTCCTCCCTTAGTTTATACACTCTCACCTCCCTCTTACTTTTCCCATCTACCTAGCTACAAGTAAATAATGATCCGATATGTCAGTTGCCCCTCTATAAACGTGTACATCCTGGAGCCTACCCATCAACCTTTTATCCACCAATACATAATCTAACAAAATACTTTTATTACTTGCTATATCATACCTTGTATATATGTTTATCCTCTTAAGTAGAGAGTGTTTGGTAGGCTGGATTAAGAGAAGCATGCATGTGACGGATGAGTTACAGTGGTACTGCACTATGTACATATTCATATCTTGTTGTAGTAGGTATTACGGTGTTGTTATCTTGTTTACAGAGGGTCTCCGCCAGATGCCGCCACCACCCGAAGTCTGCGTCAAGGGATGTCCAGCCAAAGAATGGTTGACGCAGGATCGAGTAGACTTCATGGACACTACAGTGAGAGCTCTCACACGTACCCTCATGAGTCGCCAGGGAATCCAGCTTCCACGTTAGTCTTTCTAATTTCCTTTTACCTTATGTTGACAGGACTAGACTAGGATGGCAAGTAGTATAACCTAACCTTAGCTAACCTAACTTAACCTAACCTAACCTAACCTAACCTAACCTAACCTAACCTAACCTAACCTAACCTAACCTAACCTAACCTAACCTAACCTAACCAATCCTTATCTAAGGTAACCTGCAAAAGGCAAGGTCTTAAACGTACCTTCAACCTTCAAGTTGTGGTAGCTAGTGTAATCTTCGTGATATGCTTGACGATGTCTTCACCTCCTGACTCAAGTATCGTATATTCGGCGGAGTGAAGGTGTGAGGGCACCTCACCTAGCTATCAAGGGGAGGTCAAGTACCTTCATGCCGGTCAAGGGTTCTAAATCCAGGGAATGAGAGCTGCCTTTCACTTCCACGGATCGAACCTGATTGCCTCCCATCCTCCTTTCCCAGATGCTGCAAGGACTTAATAATATTTAATAATAATAATAGTAATAATAATAATAATAATAATATAATAATAATAATAATAATAATAATAATAATAATAATAATAATAATATGGAAAAAAAACATTATTGCTAAACAATTGTTCCGTTTTACTTTTATGGGTGATTTATATATATATATATATATATATATATATATATATTATTATATATATATTATATATATATATTTTATATATATATATCTATATATATATATATATATTTGGGGAGGAGGAGTATGGAAGAAGTGAATGTTTTCAGATACTTGGGAGTTGACGTGTCGGAGGATGGATTTATGAAGGATGAGGTTAATCATAGAACTGATGAAGGAAAAAAGGCGAGTAGTGCATTGAGGTATATGTGGAGGCAAAAAATGTTGTCTATGGAGGCAAAGAAGGGAATGTATGAAAGTACAGTAGTACAAACACTCTTATATGGGTGTGAAGCTTGGGTTGTGAATGCTGTAGCGAGGAGGCGGTTGGAGGCAGTGGAGATGTCCTGTCTAAGGGCAATGTGTGGTGTAAATATTATGCAGAAAATTAGGAGTGTGGAAATTAGGAGAAGGTGTGGAGTTAATAAAAGTATTAGTCAGAGGGCTGAAGAGAGGGTGTTGAGATGGTTTGGTCATTTAGAGAGAATGGATCAAAGTAGAATGACATGGAGAGCGTATAAATCTGTAGGGGAAGGAAGGCGGGGTAGGAGTCGTCCTCGAAAAGGTTGGAGGGAGGGGGTAAAGGAGGTTTTGTGGGCGAGGGGCTTGGACTTCCAGCAGGCGTGCATGAGCGTGTTAGATAGGAATGAATGGAGACGAATGGTATTAGGGACCTGAAGAGCTGTTTGAGTGTGAGCAGGGTAATATTTAGTAAAGGGATTCAGGGAAACCGGTTATTTTTATATAACCGGACTTGAGTCCTGGAAATGGGAAGCACAATGCCTGTACTTTAAAGAAGGGGTTCTGGATATTGACAGTTTGGAGGGATATGTTGTGTATCTTTATACGTATATGTTTCTAAACTGTTGTGTTCTGAGCACCTCTGCAAAAACAGTGATAATGTGTGAGTGTGGTGAAAGTGTTGAATGATGATGAAAGTATTTTCTTTTTGGGGATTTTCTTTCTTTCTGGGCCATCCTGCCTCGGTGGGAGACGGCTGACTTGTTATATATATATATATATATATATATATATATATATATATATATATATATATATATTTATATATATATATATATATATATATATAATATATATATTATATATATATATATATATATATATATATATATATATATATATTATATATATATTATATATATATATATATTATATATATATATATATATATATATATATATATATATATATATATATATATATTATATATATATATATATATATAATATATATATATTTATATATATATATATATATATATATATATACAAAAATTGTAAAATAATAATTTTCTCTGATTTATTTGTAACTGTTCCATCATAACCCACAGAAACTGATGCTGGAGTGACAAGTCTACCTTCCCTGGTGATGACACTGATGATCGTCCTGACAGTCCGCATATACCAGTAGTACAGTTTACCAGTAGTACAATGTACTAGCAGTACAGTGTACCAATAGTACAGTGTACCAGTTGTACAGTGTACCAGTAGTGCAGTATACCAGTAGTACAGTGTACCAGCAGTACAGTGTACCAATAGTACAGTGTACCAGTAGTATAGTGTACCAGCAGTACAGTGTACCAATAGTACAGTGTACCAGCAGTACAGTGTACCAGTAGTGCAGTATACCAGTAGTACAGTGTACCAGCAGTACAGTGTACCAATAGTACAGTGTACCAGTAGTACAGTTTACCAGTAGTACAATGTACTAGCAGTACAGTGTACCAGTAGTACAGTGTACCAGTAGTACAGTGTACCAGTAGTACAGTGTACCAGTAGTACAATGTACCAGCAGTACAGTGTACCAGCAGTGCAGTGTACCAGCAGTGCAGTGTACCAGTAGTACAGTGTACCAGTAGTACAGTGTACCAGCAGTACAGTGTACCAGTAGTACAGTGTACCAGTAGCACAGTGTACCAGCAGTGCAGTGTACCAGTAGTACAGTGTACCAGTAGTACAGTGTACCAGAAGTACAGTGTACCAGTAGTGCAGTGTACCAGTAGTACAGTGTACCAGCAGTACAGTGTACCAGCAGTACAGTGTACCAGCAGTACAGTGTACCAGTAGTACAGTGTACCAGTAGTACAGTGTACCAGTAGTACAGTGTACCAGTAGTACAGTGTACCAGCAGTACAGTGTACCAGTACTACAGTGTACCAGTAGTACCGTGTCAGTAAGTTACAGCAGTACAGTGTACCAGCAGTACAGTGTTCCAGTAGTACAGGTCAGCGTACAGTGTACAGTGTTGTGTACCAGCAGTACAGTGTACCAGTAGTACAGTGTACCAGTAGTACAGTGTACCAGCAGTACAGTGTACCAGTAGTACAGTGTACCAGCTAGTACAGTGTACCAGCAGTACAATGTACCAGTAGTGCAGTGTACCAGCAGTACAGTGTACCAGTAGTACAGTGTACCAGTAGTACAGTGTACAGGTAGTACAGTGTACAGTAGTACAGTGTACCAGTAGTACAGTGTACCAGGAGTACAGTGTACCAGTAGTACAGTGTACCAGTAGTACAGTGTACCAGTAGTACAGTGTACCAGGAGTACAGTGTACCAGTAGTACAGTGTACCAGTAGTACAGTGTACCAGGAGTACAGTGTACCAGTAGTACAGTGTACCAGTAGTACAGAGTACCAGTAGTACAGTGTACCAGTAGTACAGTGTACCAGTAGTATAGTGTACCAGATACAGTGTACCAGGAGTACAGTTGTACCAGTAGTACAGTGTACCAGTAGTACAGTGTACCAGGAGTACAGTGTACCAGTAGTACAGTGTACCAGTAGTACAGAGTCCCAGTAGTACAGAGTACCAGGGTACAGTGTACCAGTAGTACAGTGTACCAGTAGTATAGTGTACAGTAGTACAGTGTACCAGAGTACAGTGTACCAGTAGTACAGTGTACCAGTAGTACAGTGTACCAGGAGTACAGTGTACCAGTAGTACAGTGTACCAGTAGTACAGTGTACCAGTAGTACAGTGTACAGTAGTACAGTGTACCAGTAGTACAGTGTACCAGTAGTACAGAGTACCAGGAGTACAGTGTACCAGTAGTACAGTGTACCAGTAGTATAGTGTACCAGTAGTACAGTGTACCAGTAGTACAGTGTACCAGTAGTACAGTGTACCAGCAGTACAGTGTACCAGTAGTACAGTGTACCAGTAGTACAGTGTACCAGTAGTACAGAGTACCAGTAGTACAGTGTACCAGTAGTTACAGTGTACCAGTAGTATAGTGTCCCAGTAGTACAGTGTACCAGTAGTACAGTGTACAGTAGTACAGTGTACCAGTAGTATAGTGTACCAGTAGTACAGTGTACCAGTAGTACAGTGTACCAAGTAGTAACAGTGTACCAGCAGTACAGTGTACCAGTAGTACAGTGTACCAGTAGTAAGTGTACCAGTAGTACAGTGTACCAGCAGTACAGTGTACCAGTAGTACAGTGTACCAGTAGTACAGTGTACCAGTAGTACAGTGTACCAGTAGTACAGTGTACCAGTAGTACAGTGTACCAGTAGTACAGTGTACCAGTAGTACAGTGTACCAGAGTACAGTGTACCAGTAGTACAGTGTACCAGTAGTACAGTGTACCAGTAGTACAGTGTACCAGTAGTACAGTGTACCGTAGTACAGTGTACCAGTAGTACAGTGTACCAGTAGTACAGTGTACCAGTCAGTACAGTGTACCAGTAGTACAGGTACCAGTAGTACAGTGTACCAGTAGTACAGTGTACCAGCAGTACAGTGTACCAGTAGTACAGTGTACCAGTAGTACAGTGTACCAGTAGTACAGTTTTACCAGTAGTTAGTGTACCAGAGTACAGTGTACCAGTAGTACAGTGTACCAGTAGTACAGTGTACCAGTAGTACAGAGTACCAGTAGTACAGGGAATCTTGTCTTGACCGACCTTTCGCTAACAGCTCAGCTCATGATGACGCAGACACTCTCCTCTGAGCGAAATGTTCCTGGAAAGACATGCTAGCATGAAAACGAGGAAAAAAGTGACATACTAGCTTGGTAGAGTAACACTAGCTAGAGTAAGTCCTAGTAAATATGCTGTGTCAGACTAGCTTCACTGTGTCAGACTAGCTTCACTATGTCAGACTAGCTTCACTGTGTCAGACTAGCTTCACTGTGTCAGACTAGCTTCACTGTGTCAGATAGCTTCACTGTGTCAGATAGCTTCACGTGTCCAGACTAGTTCACTGTGTCAGACTAGCTTCACTGTGTCAGACTAGCTTCACTGTGCCCAGACTAGCTTCCACTGTGTCAGATTAGTTCATGTGTCAGATAGCTTCACTGTGTCAGATTAGCTTCACTGTGTCAGACTAGCTTCACTTTTGTCAGACTAGCTTCACTATGGCAGACTAGCTTCACTGTGGTCAGACTAGCTTCACTGGTCAGACTAGCTTCACTGTGTCAGACTAGATGTCACTGTGTCGGGACTAGCTTACTGTGTCAGACTAGCTTCACTCTGTCAGACTAGCTTCACTCTGTCAGATTAGCTTCACTGTGTCAGACTAGCTTCACTGTGTCAGACTAGCTTCACTGTGTCAGACTAGCTTCACTGTGTCAGACTAGCTTCACTGTGTCAGACTAGCTTCACTGTGTCAGACTAGCTTCACTATGTCAGACTAGCTTCACTGTGTCAGACTAGCTTCACTGTGTCAGACTAGCTTCACTGTGTCAGACTAGCTTCACTGTGTCAGACTAGCTTCACTGTGTCAGATTAGCTTCACTGTGTCAGATTAGCTTCACTGTGTCAGACTAGCTTCACTGTGTCAGACTAGCTTCACTGTGTCAGACTAGCTTCACTGTGTCAGACTAGCTTCACTGTGTCAGACTAGCTTCACTGTGTCAGACTAGCTTCACTGTGTCAGATTAGCTTCACTGTGTCAGACTAGCTTCACTATGTCAGACTAGCTTCACTGTGTCAGACTAGCTTCACTGTGTCAGATTAGCTTCACTGTGTCAGACTAGCTTCACTATGTCAGACTAGCTTCACTGTGTCAGATTAGCTTCACTGTGTCACACCAGCTTCACTGTATCACACTAGCTTCACTGTGTCAGAGTAGCTTCACTGTGTCACACTAGCTTCACTGTGTCACACTAGCTTCACTGTGTCAGACTAGCTTCACTGTGTCACACTAGCTTCACTGTATCACACTAGCTTCACTGTGTCAGACTAGCTTCACTGTGTCAAAACTAGCTTCACTGTATTCACACTAGCTTCACTGTGTCAGACTAGCTTCACTGTGTCAGACTAGCTTCACTGTGTCACACTAGCTTCACTGTGTCACACTAGCTTCACTGTGTCACACTAGCTTCACTGTGTCACACTAGCTTCACTGTGTCACACTAGCTTCACTGTGTCACACTAGCTTCACTGTGTCACACTAGCTTCACTGTGTCACACTAGCTTCACTGTGTCAGACCAGCTTCACTGTGTCACACTAGCTTCACTGTGTCACACTAGCTTCACTGTGTCAGACTAGCTTCACTGTGTCACACTAGCTTCACTGTGTCACACTAGCTTCACTGTGTCACACTAGCTTCACTGTGTCAGACTAGCTTCACTGTGTCACACTAGCTTCACTGTGTCACACTAGCTTCACTGTATCACAGGAGCTATGATGTACACTGTCTTGTAAACAACGTCTTCTCTACATAACAAGTCGACGTGATTGTTATTTTACCAAGACTTAAGATATTGACATGTAAGTTACCAAGACTGTCACCGAAGATACCGAGACTTTAGATACTAACACACACACACACACACACACACACACACACACACACACACACACACACACACACACACACCACACAGACACACACACAGACACACACACACACACACACACACACAACACACACACACACACACACACACACACACACACACACACAACACAAAACACACACACACACACACACACACACACACACACACACACACTAGCTGCAGTGGAGGAAACCAAATTAAATGAGGGGATACACAGGGATATGCAGTGGAGAATGAAAGGGTGAGGTCAGTCTTTGTGTATGGGCTCCAGGAAGTCGAAGGGGGAAACTTTATGAAGCAAGAAAACAAGGGGAAAAAAAAGCAATTGAAAGCATCATGAAAGCAATAGGAGAAGACGATATGACCCAGCTGGAAAATTTTCGGAGAATAGGGGGGTTTGTAAAAAAAGAACCCGGCCAGTGAGAGTGACCTTCAAGGCAGAAGCGACTCGGACCAGGATACTGCAGGAGAAAGCACGATTAAGGGACATGACGGCATACAGGAGGGTGTATCTCGACCGCGACAGAACACAAGAAGAAAGGAAGAAACTGAGAGAGATGGTACAAAGGAGAAAGGAGGAAAGAGAGGGGATGGAGAAGACAGACAGGAGATCCCAGACCCAGGAAGAAGATCTAACACAGCCCCCCTCACAACTTTCTATAGAAGCCTCCCAACCAGGTCAACCCCAGTGCAACCAAACACTCTAAATCAAAACACCCATGCACATCCAATGCCCCACCCACTACATTACAAACTTCACCCCCACAGCAACAACCCATAGTTCCCTACCAGGTCTCCCACTTCCCCAACCCCAATATACTTCCCAGACCACAGTCTTAGAAAAGAAGTTGAAGGCTGTGGTATACAAATGCAGATGAATAACAAACAAGTATGAGGAGTTGCATGAAAGATCAAAGAGACATCCCAGACATAATAGCACTCACAGAAACAAAACTCACCAGAATAATAACAGATTCAATCTTTCCATCCGGATATCAAATCTTCAGGAAAGACAGAGGGAGGAGAGGGGGAGGAGGAGTTGCACTGCTCATTAAAAACCAGTGGGGTTTTGAGAAAATGGAAGGAATGGATGGCATGGGCGAAAGGGACTACTTAGTAGGAACAATCCAGTCTGAGGGACATAAGGTGATAATTGCAAGTAATGTACAACCACCACAGAACTGCAGGAGGCCAAGAGAAGAATACGATGAGAGCAACAGAGCAATGATCGACACACTAGCCGAGGTGGCAGGAGAGCACACATGGGGGGCGCAAAGTTACTAGTTATGGGTGATTTCAATCACAAGGAGATTGACTGGGAAACCTGGAGCCCCATGGGGGTCCCGAAACATGGAGAGCCAAGATGATGGATGTG